AAATCTGTGAAAACAATTGCAACTCTTTGTTTTCTTTGTTCTTTTCTCATGCCTCATTATTATAGAAAGTTCATCATTTAAATTCTAGAACTTAGTGTGTTCACTGGTCTCTCAATGATTTTTAACAAAGAACAAGAATCTATAAAATATTACAATTAACTATTGGGCATGACTTTTTAACTTTATATAACAGCGTGCAGATTATACTACAATGCATATTAGAATGATTTGAATTTGGTTCTAAATATACATTATATACACTGATTAAAATAGGAATATTTCATTCAGTTCTCTGTGAGTTCATTAAAGTTAGCTTTGACTCTGCTCAACTGTACTTCAATAGACATTTCTAACTTTTTAGATATTATTTTCTTGTACAATGTCTCCATTTGTAACATAAAGCTATTGAACAAGAAAGATAAGATGGGTTTCATTTTTTTTTTTTTGGCAAAGAATTGATAGTTTGGAAAGCTTAAATCAAGAAAATGGCTGTGCTAAATCATTCTACTGCATATTTTCCTTTGTCATCCCTTAATACCTGCCTTGAGCATTTTATTATCTTTCCAAAGGCAATGATAAAAATAAACACACAAAATATGCATACAAAGAGATCCATTTAATGAATGGATATCAATTTCTCCAACTTAGGACCCAAAGCCAAAAGAATAATGGTAAGAACAGAAGATGTAATTAAAAAATAGTTTTTCTTTTTTGTCTTCATTCGGTTCAGTACTAGTCTAAGTGAAAGGGTAAAGAAGGGATTTTTACTGCATTTGTTTGTGTTCTCATCTCTTGAAGTCTTACAAATTTTATGATACAATATTCCTAGATAGACTATCATTTTGACATTTAAAATATTCAGAAATATTCACAAATTTTCAGTTTTCTAGTTTTCAGTTGTGCTTTCAAAACTCTGTGAGTTTTTAAATGTAATTATCATCAGATTAAGAAAACTCTAGTGACTTAGTACTTGTGATGTCAATACAAAGGCACATGGCTCAAATCTACCAACTTCTCTATGGGAGGAGGTTGGGCAGTCTCCTCTTGTGTGATTTACTCCCTATGAAAACCCACTGAAAGATCAGCTGTGGGTCAGTTTTTACTAGATGGTGCACAATGGCAAAAACATCAAGAGATTCAAGTTTTTTATGCATTCCTAAGTCCTAGAAAAATAAAATTATTAATAGCATGCTTTGGTCTTTGTACAGTCACCATTCACCAATTATTTGCTCCCTTTCTCCAACATCCTTTAACCTGGTCTTCAGTATAAACATCTTTCTGTTCTACTGTTTAAAAGGAAGTTAGTGCTGGTGACTCACTCCCTAGGAAGTTGCACTGCTCACTCAAAGGTGATGCCTCTCTGGCAATTCAAATCCACCAGCACCTCCACAGGTGAAAGATATATAATATCCCAGATGAGATGCAAGAAAAAATATCAAGTAAGACACATATTGACAAACTTAACTGATTAATGGAATGACATTCTTTCCACAATCAAGGTTCGCTAAATAACAGAATAAACTGTCATTGAATCAAGGTATTTTAAAAACTCTTTTGAGTAATAAATTTTTAAAAAGTTTCTAATCTCTAGTCTTTTGTGAGTAGCTTAAATTGAATTGTGTTGCTCCATAAGAAATACAAATATAGAAATAAATTGTAATGCCAGAAATTTTTATTAAGTGCTTTAATATAAATGTGAAACATTCTAATCAGCTCTTCAATGTGTCAGACATTTTTCTAATAGTCAAATATTTTTAAGTTTATTCAGAAATGTTATTTCACATTTAACTTCAATTTCAAAAAGTTTACATGATAGACAGAGTCTAACAATAATTTAAGAGACAGCGAGGTCCAGTGTAGCAGTCAGAAGGGAGCTGAGCTGGTAATCCAAATGCTACAACTCTCTGGTGGTTCACAACTACCTGGGATTCAGCAGGACAATGAAAGGAAATCTCCTCCCATGATATTTTCAGTCTCTGAAATCTGCCAAAAGGTAGCTATGATTAGGTTCCACCTCTCTTGCAATGAGTGAGCCAATGAATTATATAAATGAGCATACATCATATGATTTCTGCAGGGTAGACTAACACCTTGAACAAATTTAAAAGTTCAAGACCTGGATGTAGATTCAAGGTAATGGGCATAAAAATGTTGAGAGATTTTTGATTGATAATTTACTCAATGAATCAACAGTGCTGAGATTTGCTAGATACTGTACAATAAAATTATCTCAATCTATTATGTTAAGCTAACAGGCAGAGTTAGAAATTTTGAAAATCAAATAATCTCATTCTGTGAGCAAGCATGAAACTTCAGTTTTCTGTTTGATGACAGTTTAAATAGAACAATACAAACTGTAGGATTCTCATCAGAAGAATAGAAAATCTTTTGCCAGAAAGTCATAATCATCGTGTTGAGAGTGGGGGAAAGGTATGGTTTTTTTACACAGTGAAATTTGCAAGGTTTAGAATTTTGTGACAGCCAGGCCTGTTTTTATGTTGCTATATTTCGGATATTTTCTACTGGTGGCAGTCTTACTACTTTTCTGTTGATTAGTATTGTTGTTATTATGTGTCATTGAGTTGCCTGCTGCTCTTAGCAACTATGTACAATAGCTCTGAAGCAGAATAGTCCTGAGGCAGTCTCACTGACACCAACACACCTACCCCATTGTCCTAGTCACTGTATTAATCCATCTCATGGAAACAAATGTGTAATTGCTGTCAGACTAGAGTAGTATAAGTGGTTTAATCACAGTGTTGTTGTTGTTGTTGTTATGTGCCAATGAGTCACTTGCGACTCATAGCGACCCTATGTACAACAGCCCTAAACTCTTCTCTGTCCTGTGCCAATGGCACTGTCTCTGACACTCCCATCCTGATTATCTCAGTCACTGAATCAATCCACCTCATAGAGGGCCTTCCCCTCCTGCCCTGTCCCTCCACCCTCCCAAGCATGATGCCCTTCTCCAAGGACCTGTCTCTCCTCGGAACATGTCCAAAATATGTTAGACAGAGCCTCAGAATCCTTGCCTCCAAGGAGCCACCCGGTTTAGTGACAGTAGAATAAATAAAAAACATTGCCATCAAGTCAATTCAGATTTGTGATGAGTATCAGAGTAAAAAGGGTCTTCAAGAATATGACTTTTCTGAAGGAAATCACCAACCCTTTCTTTCAAGTTGCCTTTGGGTGGGTTTGAAGCAGTTAGCAGCCACACACTTAATAAATTAGACTATTTATAGGAAGCTCCATGGGGAACTCTGGTGGCAAAATGTTTAGGGAGATGTGCTGCTAATTCAAAAGCCCTGCCTTTTTGGTCCTTCCAATCCACCTTGGGAGGGGAAGAAAAAAAAAAGGGAATCTCCTAGTACAGCCTTAGAAATCTTCTAGAAAGTAAGCTACAAATTAATCCTAATTCAAAGGGACTTCTGGAGCAGTGATAGGGCAACAGGAATAACAGTGGATAGGGTATATAAACGATTGTTTGCCTGAAAGGTTTGCAAAGAGCAGATAAAACTATATTTAAATATAGATGAGAAACTCACTAAGCGGACAATCAGGGAAGCGAATTTTAAACCTCCTTGCTAAAGGACCACAAAGAAAACTCAAATAAATGTGAGCAAGGCATACACTAAAATATGCAAACAGTTGACATGATTATAACATAAGCTCCATTTAGATAAAAAGTGAAATACGAAGGTGGCTCGTAGTAAGAAACTGAACTGTTTCAATCCCAAAGGCAGTCCAAATTCACCAGCTACTCCATGGGAGAAGTATGAACAATTTCCTGTGGAACTAGTACTGCCTCAGAAAATATACAAAGGGTCAGCTATGCGTCAGTTCTGATTTGATGGCACACAATAACAGCATTCAATCCATGATATTGACCTGAACCAGAGATTATTTGTGGCTAACTTTTAAAATCTGAATTTTAACTTGAAGATAATAAAAGTTTTAATTTGAAAAAAGATGGCTGATGCAAACTATTGAGGAGAAAAAAATTAATTATGCTGGTGAAACTCCCTCGGTAGCTCAGTACAAATATGATGGGAATTATTTTAACATAGTCTTCACATAATTGCCCCTCTTGGTAATCTCAGCTGACAGATATCATTCTTAAGAGTCTTCATGGGTCACTTGATCTAATTTGATAAATTTCAGAACATATCCTGATTTAAATTCTGTATGCTACATCAGTTAATTATTTATTAAATTCTTTTATTTTTGTTTTCCTTTGTGAGACTATAATCACCATGTAAAAGTAGATGTTTATTTTTGGTTTATTGCTGAAATGCATGATTGAAAAAGTAAATATTAAATAGACATTGCCTAATAAAAATTTATAATGAGTGGAGCAAAGAAATAAAGCCAGTGTCAACAGAAATGAGAGATATGGATGTACATTAAAGACATCAGAAGATAGTTGTTTTGCAGCACTTCATAGCTTATTTCAAAAAAACAAAAAACCTTAAAACTCATTATGATAAAGTCAGAACCAGTTCATAGCCGGTCTTCCAGTGAGTTCAATGGCTGTAATTGCACAACAGGAGGTAACCATTTTCCTTCTGTGGAACCTCTTGTGGATTCAAAGGTCTAGAAAGGTACCACTTTTGTATTATTAGGGCTTCTTTGCCTGATTAAAGCATGGGATATAGAAATAATTGATCTAAAAAAAACATAATTTTATGCATAAATGACTAAATACATTTTGAACACATTTGCTGCATTAATAAGCCTGAGGTAATGGCTTTCAAAACTATAGGAATAAGTGCAATTTCAAAATGCTGAACTTTAGAATTCAGATAAGAAATTGTAGATCTTTTGAATATCTTTCACGTACTAGAACTCTAACACGTTGCCACAAATGACAGCAAAAAAATGTGTCTCTAAGCATGGTCTAAATTTAAAAGTGTCTGGCAACACGTTAGAATTAATTTATCAATTTGTCTGCCTCATCTGAAGAAATCCTTCTGATGACTTTGTCTTTCTCTTTTCAGGTTATGAACGTCAGTTGTTCCTTGTGGCAGGAAAATGGCATATCTGTCAAACATTTTGCATTTGCCAAATTCTCTGAGGTCACTGAACAATGTTTTCTTCTGTTTACCCTCATCCTACTCATGTTCTTAGCATCTCTGACAGGAAATGCTCTCATAGCCCTTACCATCTGCACCAACCCAGTGCTGCACACTCCCATGTACTTCTTCCTGGCCAACTTGTCTTTCCTGGAGATTGGCTACACTTGCTCTGTCATACCCAAGATGTTGCAGAGCCTTGTGAGTGAGGCCAGAGGGATCTCTCGGGTGGGTTGTGCCACACAGATGTTTTTCTTTATATTATTTGGTATCAGTGAATGCTGCCTTTTGGCTGCCATGGCTTTTGACCGCTATCTGGCCATATGCTCCCCACTCCACTATGCAACACGAATGAGTCATGAGATGTGTGCCAATTTGGCAATGATATCTTGGGGGGTGGGATGTCTTGTTGGTCTTGGCCAGACAAACTACGTTTTCTCATTGGATTTCTGTGGCCCCTGTGAGATAGACCACTTCTTCTGTGATCTCCCACCCATTCTGGCACTTGCTTGTGGTGACACCGCCCACATTGAGGTTGCAGTCTTTGTTGTAGTTAGCCTTTGCATTTCCAGTCCATTTGTACTGATTATTGCCTCCTATGTCAGAATTCTAGCTGCAGTACTGGTCATGCCCTCACCTGAAGGCCGCCATAAAGCTCTCTCCACCTGTTCTTCACATCTACTGGTAGTAACATTGTTTTATGGGTCAGCCTCTATCACTTACCTGAGGCCCAAAGCGAACCATTCACCAGGAACTGACAAACTCCTAGCTCTTTTTTATACAGTGGTGACATCTACCTTCAATCCCATCATCTATAGTTTACGGAACAAGGAAGTCAAGGCAGCCCTTTGGAGAATTCTGGAGAAGAAAAAGATTTTGACTCATGTTTAGGTGTGTCAGGACCATGAAAATCAACTCTTTGGACAGAATGCACACACAGCTTAAGAGTAAGAACACAAAAATCTGGGCTGTCTCCTGGTGTACAGAAATCTCTTTAATACCAGTAATTTTCATTTTGGTGACATCTTCATACTTAACTCTAAACTTTAGGTTGCTGAACTTTGAAAGGAAGTAGGCTCTTTATAAATTTTAATAGGAGCATTCAATGCTAGATAGTTTCTAAAGTAAGTACTTTAAGCTAAGCTTAGTGTATGAACTGCAGAGTTATGTTTCAGAAGGTTGTAAAATTCTCACTTGACACTCGTAGGCATTTTCTTACCACTGAAGGGCCTATCTGACATCGCAAGAAGGCATGTTTCCATGTATATTTGTCTCACATCACTTTAAGTTTTATTAACAAAACAAATTCTACCATATCTTCATAAAATGTATTAATAATTTTTTCAGGTTTTATAATTGGAATATCAGATAAAGTCAACTATGTAAAAAATATGAGTAAAGAAATAATATAAACAATAAAGCAAAAGCATATTCTTGTGTTTTGAAAGTATTTGCTATAGATAGGGAAAATTTTAATCAAGAGTTTTAATGATCAAAATAGTTTTCAAACTGGATTTAGAAGAGACCTTGGCAACAGGATGTCAGATGCTGATGTTAAATGGTTTCTAGCTGAAAACAAAGAACATCAGAAAGTCTATTTTTATTTTGTTGACTAGACAAATGCATATGACTGTGAAAGCTATAACAAATTATGGCTAATATTGAGTAGAACATTTGAGTAGAATTCAAGAACATTTAATCATGCTCATATGAAGCCTATACCTAGAAGTTGACCAGACCAAAGAAACACTGCAGGGTTTAAAATCAGGAAAGGTGTTCATCAGAGTTTTATCCTTTCTCCATACCTATTCAATCTGTACTCTGAATAAACTGTTGAGAAGCTAGTCTCTGAAGAAGAATGTCGTATCTTCAGGATTGGAGGAACTAGACAACTTGCATTATACAGATGACACACCTTGTTTGCTGAAAATGAGGAAGACCTTAAGTGCTTAATGAAGACGATCAAAGATTACAGCCTTCAATATGGATTCCATCTCAACATCAAGAGAAGAAAAGTCTTCACCACTGAGCTGATAAACAACATCATAGAAGATGGAGAAAAAGATTGAAATTGTAAATTATTTCATTTCATCTTACTGGGATCGACAATCAACAAATATACCCTTACACAAATATTATATATATATATATATTTACCAAAAATATGAGGATTTTTCAAATATTCTATATAGGAGTCTGACTGAAAAGTAAATGTATAGTAGAATTGCAAATTTTCATAGAATCCAAATATTTGGGAAGGAAGGAAGCTGAATGAACCATTTAAAATATTGTTATGAGATTGTCTTGAAATGTGAAACCTTAAACTAAAAATATTTTCTGAAGTCTCCTTAATTTAATGCAATAACTTAGCTATTTATATTGTTGCTGCTATTGTTATTATTAACAACTGTCCAGTTGAAGCTACAGTTCCAGTTGAACCCATCTGACCCTCCAAAGGATTCTCAGAGGTAGTTGTTAACCCACAGCAGGAGATTGTCCATTTTTTCCCAGCAAAGCAGCTGGTGGATTTCAGTCATATGTCTTTGATATGGCAGTACAGCTCCTTACCAGTATGCCACAAATGCTCCCTAACTATATTATGTTGTTTTTGTTGTTGCTGCTGCTACGTGCCATCAAGTCACCTATGATTCATAGTGATCCTGTGCACAATAGCTTTAAAGCCTGCCCTATTCTGAGCCAGTCTCACTCTCTCTGACACACCTACTCCTATATCTCCAGTTATTGTGTCAATCCATGTTATCCAGTGTCTTCCTCTCCTGTGCTATACCTCCTCCAAGAATTATGTCCTTCTACAAGAATTAGTCCTTCCTGGCAACATACCCAAAGTGTGTGAGATGGAGCTTCAAAATGCTTGCTTCTAAGGAGCATCTTGGTTTCACCCTCTTGAGGACAAACCTCTTGGCAGTCTATGTTATGATTAGGACTCTTCTCTAGCACCACAACTCAAACGCATCAATTCTTCTATCATTCTTAGTCATTGTCTACCCCTCTGATGCATAGCAAGTAATTACAAAGATCATGGCCTGAATCAGGAGCACCTTAGTCTCTAGACTGGTACTACTTTTTCAGCACTGTGGAGAGATTCCTGACAGCAGATATACCCAGTGCAGTTTGTCTTTTGATTTTATAACTTCTGGTGCTAAGAGCACTGATTGTGGAACAGAGCAAAGCTGATACTGTTAACAATCTCAATCTCTTTTCTGTCCATCATTGTGCTGCCAATTGGCCCACTGGTGAAAATATTTGGATTTTTTATATAAAGCTTCAGTTAATATTGCAGACTGCAGTCCTTGACCCTCTGCAGCAAAGCCTTCAGGTCTTCCTCCATGTTGGCAAGCAAGGCTGTATCATCTGCATAATGCATGTTGTTGATACGTCTTCCTCCAATCATGATGCCACGCTCTTCCTCATAAATCCCAGCCTCCAGAATTATCTGTTCTGTACATAGATCGAAAAAGTTATGGAGACAGGATGCATCCCTGATGCACTCCTATTCTGATTTTGAAATATGTAGTGTTTTCTTGCTCTGTTTTGATGACTGCTTCCTGGTCTGAGTATAGGACTATGCACACAATTAGGTGTTCTGGGTTTCCCATTCTTCTGAATGTTAGCCACAATTTGCTGTGATCCACACCATCAAGTACTTTTACGTAGTCAATATAACTTGGATAGACATTCCTCTGGTACTCTCTGCTTTCAGCCAAGATCCGTCTGACATTGGCTATGACATCCCTAGTACCATGGCCTCTTCTAAACCCAGATTGCACTTTTGGCAGTTCTCTGTCAATCTACTGTTTCATTTGGTTTTGGATAATCTTTAGCAGGATTTTGCTTGCATATGACATTAATGATATTGTTTGATAATTTCCACCCTCTATCAGATCACTTTTTGTGAATGAGAATGAACAAGAATCTCTTCCAGTCATTTGGTCAGGTAGTTGTCTTGCACATTGTCTAGCACAGCCTGCTGAGCATGTCCAGGGCTGCATCTGTTTGTTGTGTTTGTTGAAGTGTGCCTATTGGCAATTCCTGTTGCCTGTTCCTTCAGAGGCACTTGAGCTACCATTTGCACCGTCATTGGCTCTTGGTCATATGTTATTTCATAAAATTCTTCTGTGTGAACCAATTAATTTTGCTACAGTGAATCTGTGTACTTTTTCTGTCTTCTTTTGATGCTTCCTGTATCATCCAATATTCTGTCCATATCATCGTTAAGTGTTGCCACTCAGTGTTTGAACTTGTTCTTCTGTTACTTCTGCTTAAGAAATGCTGAGTGAGTTTTCCATTTTGATTTTTGGACTCCAGTTCTTTTCACATTCATTATAATACTTTGCTTTGTCTTCTTGAGATACTCCCTTTAGAGTAGTGAGAGAAGATCTTCACCCTGAAACCCACAGCGTCCCTTTTCAGCAGGAAGTAGCTAAGAGAATACGCCATCCCCTTTTCCTTATGACTCAGGGTGAAATCTCTCTCAGGGAGGAGTGATAGGGAATGGCAAAGGACACACTGACAAAGAAGATTAATCAGAACTGGCTTTGACAAGCACTGTGGCATTTGGACAAGAACAAACTGGGAGGAGGGTAGAGAGAATAGTGCAACAATGAATGAATGGAAACCCAAAATCTCTGTAAATGTTTATGAAAATTAATAAAATATAGAAAAAAAAAGAAGTATTTTGTTCAGCTCCTTAACTTCTTGATTTCTTCCCTTTGCTTTGGCTTCTTGGCACACTTGTGCAATATTCAAAGTCTCTTGTAACCTCCATCTCAGTCTTTACTTCCTCCTCTGTCTTTATAATGAATGATCTTTTGCATTCTTCCTGGATGAAAAATAGAACTCAGTAATATTACATCTCTCTATGAAAATGTCTGCCTTGAAATTTGTGATCTTAAGAATCTGTCTATATGGGACCAATCTCACAACAACAACTTACACAATTAGGTAGAAATTTAGGACATAAGAAAGTAACATAATAAGAAAGTGACTTTATGTTATTGAGGTAGAAACAATTTGGAAAAGGAGAGTGATATTAATGATACCATAGTTCGTGGAACGTAGTCAGTGTCACTAAATTGTGCACATAAGAATTGCTAAATTGGGAAATAGTCTCATGTGTATTTTCAATAATAACAAAAATTATTTTCAAAATGTAAAAAATACATTAAATGTTAAAAATTTTTATTTTTTTTTAAGTGCTGTCAAGTTGTAGACAATTCACAACTCACAGTGACCCTATGAATGAAAGACCTGAACACTTGTATAACTTTGTATAACAGGTATAATGTTATCGTTATTATCACTTTCTTCATATTTTGTTCATTTTAAAAAATATTTATTAGAATTTAGGTAATTTTGTACTTCCCTAATCCACCAATGGTATCTAAATTAAATCACATTTGCTAAACTAGTCATGATAGATTTATAACAATTGTATTATATTTTATGAGCAGAGAAATAAAAGATCTATATAATTAAGTTGCAATTTTGGTAGTTTTCTGATCAGATCATGGTTTTCTTCTCAAATGTGTATATATATATATATATATATGTGTATATATATATATATATTTCACTTTTATCAAATCATCCCATTCAACTTCATGTTATAATAAACAACATTTATTTATTTATTTGTATTAAATTACTTTCTAGGGAAAGTCACTGTAAAACATTTCTTTTATAAGAGAACACAAGATCTACCAAGCCAAAGGTCATAGAGTCCTGGTGTGTCCACTTGCTGTACAGAGGAAACTTGTGGTTGCTGTGAAGGTGAACAATGTGAACTGATATGTCAAATATGATAATGGTTACTCATGGTGGACAGTGTTTGTTGGAGCTCCCCAGTTAAACAAGCTTGGAAGCAGGAGTGG